ATACTATGTTCTGATACATGGCATGATACTGATGACCCTTGATAAAATTATGCTAAGTGAAATAAACCAGATAAAAAAGAAAAATATTATAAAATTCATTTATATAAAGCATCTAGAATAAGAAAATTCACAGATTAATTAGGAGTTATCAGGGGTTGGGGGCGGGGGAATGGGAAGTTATTGTTTAATGGGTACAGAGTTTCTGTATGAGTGATAAAAAAGTTTGGAAATAGTGATGATGGTTGGCAAATATTTTAAATGTAATTAATGTCACTTAAAAATGACTAAAATTACAAATTTTATGTTATATGCATTTTACCACAAAAATCAATGAAGCAAAGTTTTCAAAAACTGTAAGAGAAAACTTCAAATTAGAAACTTCTGAATAAACAAAATTAAGAAAAAAACAGTAAGCTGAAAAATATTTGTCCCAGACACAAAGGATTAATCCAGAATTCCTACAATTCAACAAAAAATACATCCTAAAAATCTAATAGACTGCAGAAATGTAGTCAATAAGTGAAAAGAAACTTCTACTGTAATAACAAAATTAAAAATGTAAATGACTATGATCTAAATATTTGTGCCTCTCTCATTCATATGTTGAAAGCTAATGTCCAAGGTAATGTCATTAGGAGGCAAGGCCTTTGGGAGGTGATTAGAACATTAAAGCAGAGCCCTTGTGAATGAATTAGTGCCCCAGAGCTAGCCAGCTTGCCTTCCACCATTTGACGATACAAGAAGTCTGTGACCCAGAAGAGGGCCCTCACGGGACCCTGCACCTTGACTCAGACTTCTGACCCCCAGAAATGTGAGAAATAAATTTTTGTTGTTTGTAAGTTAACCAGTCTTATATTTCGTTATACAACAGCCTGAATGGGACTAAGACACAAATTAAATTGAGAACTTTTGCACCTACCTAATTGGCAACGATTTCTTTCTGTATGTCTGTCTCATAGGCTCTTTGTTACATATTGCCGGTTTTCCAGAGAACCCCACAAAGGCTTTAATAAGAGCGAGGCTAAAAATACTTCACACACATGCATTTACTGAACTTTTACAACCACAGCTAAGTATTTCTTTTAGAGGTGAAGATACCAGGACAAACTGTATAACTGGCCCTAGATCACCAAGCCAGCCAGAGACAGGGCTGGGGTTCTCATCTTGGACAGCTGAAACCCACAGCCTGGGTGCTGAACTATGAGCCACTCAGAACTGCCTTTAAAATGCCCAGCAACCTCTGTGATAGCCAGGGACGCATGTGGGAACTTGTACACAGTGTCCATAAGAATGTATATTGGCGCAATCTTTCTGGAAAATAACTCACCATACATACAAATGTTCCTGGACTTACAATGGGGTTACGTCCTGATAAACCCATCACAAGTTGAAAATATTGTAAACTCAAAATGTCTTTAACCTACGGGACATCCTAGCTTTGCCTAGACAATTTCTACTGAACGTGTGTAGTTTTTCGTACCATCATAAAGTTGAAAAATCATCATCTTGTATCAGGAGCTGTCTACAGAGCCCTACAGATGGTTCCTTCCTTATATACAATATAACCCTGATCCTACTGGAATATATTATGCAGAATATTATATCTTAAGGTCCCTCTTGATCTCTACCTCTGAGAGAAGACCTGCTCTGTCTGTGGAGTGTTATCCCTTTTCTAATAAACTTTCCTTTTGCCTCTAACTATATATATATATTATCTCTTAAGATCAGAACTTAAAATAAAGATGCACACTAAATTTTCCATATAAAGATGTTCACAGATAAATTATTTCTAAAATGGAAAAAGATCAATAATGTAAGTGGTCAATATTAAAGGAATATTAAATAAATTATCACGTAAATGTTATGGGATATTTTAGTTATTTAAAATTATGTTCATGAAGAATTTCAAGGCAATGACTAAATGATGAAAGTATAAATTAATTATGAAATTATTCAATGGCCTATTAAAAATGCATTAAAAAGGGTGGGAGGTATGCTTGCTTTGGCAGCACATATACTAAAATTGTTGTACACACAAAACAAGAATGTTTTCTACAATGCATCCAACCAAAAGCTGGTCTGTACTAAGACCCTAGTAAAGAACTGCATCATGCTCACTGACAGCACACAGTATAACAGTGGTACGAGTCCTACTGCGCACTGCACCTGGGCCACAAGGGGTCAAGCTGACTCTTGCAAAGGAAAAAGTTGTAACAAAAATGACCAAAGAAAATCCAGAAGAAATATGAAGAAAGGAAAAAGAATGCCAAAATCAGCAGTCTTCTAGAGGAACAGTTCCAATAGGGCAAGCTTCTTGCACACATCGCTTTAAGACCAGGCCGACGTGGTCAAGCAATGGCTATGTGCTAGAGGGCAAGGAGCTGGAGTTCCATGAGGAAAGTCAAGGCCCAAGAAGGCAAATAAATTCTCCTCCCTCCTATCTTAGCTCATGCAATAAAAGTATTTACTGTTCTAAAATATAAAATTAAAAAGAAAGGCTGGGAACACATTTCTTCATGAAGGGATTATGGGATTATTTTCTTAGACATCTGAATTTCAAATAACAAAAAACTTTATATAAAAACATATGTTTAAAGGGAATAAATCTGCCATGGTAATAGTGAAGTGTCGTTAGAAAATGCCTCTCTAGCCTCACCTCCTGCCTTCACTGCCCCCACCTCACCAGCTAGGGCATATTTACTAAGCAGCTCCCTGAGGACCAGCCCCTGTTGTAAAGGCACACTTCTGGGGTGCCACGCCTTTATTGGCCTGGCTCTGCTTTCACCTCAGCTGAGTAGACCCCAGTAAGTGTGGGTAGAAGATTCCCCATGCTGACCCAGCCCCTACAATACAGGAAGAAATGAGGTCCAGGTATGGGGTACTAGTGGGGACTTTGGACAATGATTACAGGAAGTGAGAGAAGAATGAGAAGAGGTAGCATGAATAGGGGTGAGGACAGCACTGACCATGGCCTACAGTCTCTGGCTTCCCCAGGAAGGGAAGGCTTTGGCCTAGACACACCCCAGAGCCTTGGCTCAAGCACGATGGCATTCTACCAGCCAGTCACCACCTTGGGCTTAATGAGACAGTAGCCCATTCCACAGGCTCCATCAACAAAACACCAAAAGGAGGCTTTGGTATACACTCAGGTCACAGCCTGACAGCCATCTATTCCTGGAGCCAGCCTATAGTCTTTCAGGCCACTGAGCTCACAGGGTAGACTGCCCAATACTGTCCCATTCATTCTTATCAGTTTTCAAAAAATCCACAGATTAATTATTCACTTCTTTTATCAGTAGGATTAAAAATCTCAATTAGAAAAGAGCCAGATGGTCTTAGCCATCCTTCCACTCAGCACCTAATAGGTCCCTATCGCAGGGAAGGACTGGGGTCACCAGCTGACCCTTCCCAGTCAGGAGCTTCTCTACCATCCACACCCTGTGCCCTGAGCCCCACTACCTCCAAGCCTGGAGAAATCTAAAGCACTCCATCTTCAAAACCAGAACTCCTAGATTTAAAATTTTGAATGTACTGAAAGACTAAAAAGTATATCTTCCCTTAGTTATCCAAATGAATATGAAAATAAACGGCAAATCCAACATTTGCCATTTAAGTTAACTTTTTAAAAAGGCGTGACCTGCATCCAGCATCAAAAAGAAAGCATGCACAGTAAGCATGCTGCATGTGAGGCTTTGGCAAAGTAACCAACCTGACCATAAGCCAAGATTTTATACCACAATGCAGGGCAGGGCCAGGCACAGGAAAAGGGCCTGAGGCTCAAATGGGGAAAGTGAGAAAGAAAAGAGAAGGTGGGTAGACACAGAACAAGAAAGAAAGGGAGCACTCACAAAGAAGGTCCCAGTTGTGAGTCAGGGAAGGCACACAGTGTCCAAGCGAGGCCGCCCCGTGGACAGATGGTATGGCTCTGGGGAGAAGACAGGAATAGAGGCAGAGACAGAACTCCTCCATGTACAGTAATAACCTAGTAACCTATTATGCCGGAAGAAGCAAGGATTCCAAGAAACAAAACAAAAGAGAAAGGTGAGGGACTACACTAGATCCATGTCTGAGAGTTAAGAGGAAGCAGCAGCACAGGAGCACAAGGTACACTAGTTACAGAACATGGAGCTGGGTCACAGCATGGACTCCAATGGTTCAGGAGGCAAGAAGGGTCCATGGCTCCAGGGCTTTCAAGCCAGAGGTATGAGGACTGAGAGGAGCCCGTGTGCTTGGTATGAAGCTACTTCAGGAGGGTGGGAGGAACTGGGTTGGCAAACTGGAGTTAGTACAGGACAAGTCTCTTGAGGGGCGAGGAGATGAAAGGATGGAGAAAGAGCAGACACTAAATCAGGAAGGCAGTAAGGTCACAGGAAAGCCACTGTTAGAAGGCCAGAGCCATTCTGAGGGCAGAAGTCAGTGAGACAGGGAGAGCGGGAGCTGTGGAGGGGCAGATACTGGAGGCATAAGCTCCAGAAAGGATACTGAGTAAAGGGAACAGGTGGGCCATGAAGCAAAGAAATTTGAGACAAATCGGAGACACATACTAGAGGTTACCAGGAATAAAGTCCAAAACAGGTATCCAGAGGGTTAGAGACACAGATGCAAAACCAGGAGGAAAAGCAAAGAGAAGATCTAGATGGGAACACCTGCCATCTCCCAAGAAGGTCAGAGAAGGCGGCCCCAACTGGACAACTGAGGCCAGGCCAATATAAGCCGGGAAAGATAGGAGCCCAGACAGACGCATTCCTTTCTCAGGTTCATAACCACAGATCTGGAGAGCTTGGGCCCCCCGGAATGTTACAAAACCAGTGCAAAGATAGGATCCTACTCAAGAACCCGAAGCTATGGTCCCTACCTTATTACCCTAGAGTGACAGCCCGCCTCTGTGCATCTGTTGGTTGCCTGTACTAAAAGTCTCCTTGGGAGTAGAGAGAAGCCCAACAGCACACACATCACCTTAAAGAATAATCTCATAAGAAGTGGAAGTGTTCAATACTCACAGGAACAATAAGCCCTTGCCAAGTCAATAAATTAGCTTCATCAACCTGGATGTTACGGAAGTTTTTCATTCCACATTTGCGGATTTCTTCAAGCTCCTGTTGATTGACAAAGCATAAAGGGGTGTCAAATAGGGGAAAGCACCACACATTAAGATCCCTCCTGACTCCCTCAAATTAAACCAAGTGCCGACACCACGGATGACAAAATTTCAAAGTGTGGACTAGACCGTGTCTGGTCTGGTTAAGAGGCTCGGAGCCACAGTGGTCCCCTGAACCCACATCCCAGACAAGACAAGCCCCCACCTCGGTGAACCCACAGTACTCGGCAGGGTAGATAACTGCTTCTGCGGACGCACTGCCTCCAATTTGGCCTGTCACCATGCGTCATACGGTGGGGCATAAGAAAGGTACTACAGATCTGACTTCTTACAACTGAGATTTATTAAGCACTGACTGTGTCAGACGGCGAGGATATTAAAACGAATGGAACCAGGACCAGGAGCACACACGTACCCACAGTTTTCTACCCAACGCTGTAAGTGTGATTTCAGGACTCTACCCTCAGCACCGGCGTACAGCACAGAGAACAACCATCCAGTCTGGGATGGGAGGGGGACAGGAAACCTTCACTGAGCCTCGGTTTCCTCGGCTGCAAAAAAGGGATAGCAAGATCCAGAGTTGTAGACAACAAAGGGAAACCACATTGGAAGCAATAGAACCCCTTGTAAACATGAGAGGCTATTATTATACAGTCAATATTGCAAATGCCATCTCATCCAGGAAGCACGACCACCCTGACTACTTCAAGGCCCTGCTTGAGATGTGTTCAGTCTAGAATTTTCTATCACTTGTTTTTCAACTGTACACCAGACTGCTATTTCCCACTGCTTTCTCAACAACTCAAACAAACGTCCAATAAGTGTTTTATAGCCTAAGCCACCCATTAAGTGCCTGTCTGAATCCCCAACATCCTCCATTCTCAGATATCTGGAGTGACATGCTGCCCCCCAATGCCCCAAATCGGCCTCTCATCCATAGCACAATAGCCTCCTCCACATCTTTTGGATGCCTTCTCTTCTGCAACCCCGAGCAGCACTCAGCAGGGCCTTGCCTCCTCTGCGGGCTGGCAGGACTTCTTCCTTGCTGGCCTGGCTTCCTCCTTGTTGATCAGCCCATGAACCCCTCCAGAAATGGGAAGCCCCTCTTTGTTTGGTGCGGTGGCTCGCAGTGGCACAGAGGCTCTGATTCGGCACTCACATCAAGCCCCAAAGATGTCCACACCTCCATTCCCATCACACAGCTGACAGCTTACAAGGCACCCTGGGGTCACAATTCCCGAGAAAGGGGAACTAAGGCAGTGCTACAGGTTCTCAATTGCAGAATGTGTGGTGTGGCTGGCACAGAGTGGGCCGAGAAGGACAGCACATCGAATGAATGTGTACATGAGGCAGGTAGGATACACTAGTGCTTCATGGCAGGCAACAGGCTCAAGTTTCTTCGCACAGGGTGCTGCTCCTTGTCAACACTAGCTGCCCACTGCAATTGTCTAGGCCTGGACCTAGGTTGGAAAATTCCGGTCCAGCAAGTGTGGGGTGGTGTCTGAATTGGGGATTTTTAACAACCTACACCGTGAGAGAGTCCCCGACACTGAGAGATGAATTCCATTTCTAAGCAATGTTCAGCTTCAGTGAGGAAGTTGGTAATGGCAATGGCTGTGACCCCTGAAATAGGGTAAGGGGTGGCCTGACCCTTCTTTCTAAGCCTGCAGGAGGGAAAGCATGGAACCTAAGAGACCACTGAACCTGCCAACCGCCATCTAGGCCTCTTGCTAATGCCTGGGACTTATTGGAAATGCTCACCTAGGAATTATACAGCCTGGCCAGATACAGGAAGAAGAGTTCTCACATCCACAATACCACTCTGGCCCATTCCTCAAACAGAATGTAAACTCCAGGAGGGCAGGCGAGAGGGCAGGGACCAGGAAGCTCCAGAAGCTCATGGTCATGCTTTCTCAAACACTTGCTTAAGGGGTAGCTTAGTGTAGTAGTTAGCATGTCTGCTTTACACGCAGAAGGTCTTGGGTTCGCGCCCCAGAGGGAGCTATGGACCATACCCGGGTGCGCCAGGCCCCAGGTGCACACTGTGAGCATGCGGGAGGAGACGCCCCGCCTTCAGAGATCCAGTTCTTAAGGGGAAACACCAACAACATCCATAGGTCAGAGGTGGAAGGGGGTGGGAATTAAAGAGGGGAAAAAAAAAAAAACACTTGCTTAATGATTGAGTTAGTGAACAGTTAGGAAGCTTGGGCTTGGGGAGGGATAAAAGGCTCTGAGACGGGAAGGGCTCTCTATGTATTTTGATTTTCTGGTCCTTGGCTTAAGACACTAGAGTAAGATTCCTGGCTAGAGACATGAGATATCATGTACTTTAAGGGGTGAGACCAATGAGCTATCAAAAATGCAGACAGGGGGGAAAATATTCCAGAGAGAACTTTGAAATTAGATAATCAAAAAAGAAGAAACAACAGGAGAATATATTTAATATTTATGAGAAGAAATAAATTTTTAAAATAATATGAAACTATTCTTTATGGCTTCAGAAATCCACATACTAACAACATGAAGTATAGGTGATAAACACAAGGTAAATTTCAAAAGAATTACAAAAACATGGCAAGATGGGACTCAACTGTAATGTGGCAGTGAAAAACTGCCACCTTGCTCAAGAAAAAGGGAGACACGAGTGGTACTGTGTGCAAGGGGAGGACACCTATCAGTGCTTTGATATCAAGATATATGAACAAAGACAAAAGCCATACTGTGGGAGGAGGACGCCACACACTCCCTGGACAGAGAAGAAGGGGCGGCACTAACGGTGGCAGGGCTGGGAAGATGAAGGTATTCAAAGCGTAGTTATTGAATAAACTCTCAACTTACCTTGCTGTAAAGTTAAAGCTCATCAAAGACCAAAGTGGCAGCCTTCTTTGCATAATTCTAACCAACAAGGAAGAACTAATTTTAAAGCAGAAGTAAGAGACACCAAGACAAACAAACAAGCAATCCGGTAATCTCCTGAGAATGTTGGGCAGCCCCCAATGAGTGTTTCTCAACAGGGTGGTGGCAGCACCCAGGACTCTGCACTTCAGCATCTCTAGCCTCACCCATTAAATGTCAGGCATTGTGATCTCACCCCAATTTCCCAATGTCTTCCTCGTCCTCCTTGAGAGCCCCAGCTGCTGAGAATGACTGGTACTATCTATCGGGGGCCAGAATGTTAAAAGTTCCGCATTGCACAAGATGGTCCTGCAGACAAGAATTGTTAAAATCAAAATGCCAATCATGCCTCTATTGAGAACAACTTGAAGATGGATTGGAGTCAGAGAAAAGACAGGCTCATCTGAAGGTCTGAGACAAAAAGGCATGGCTCAAGAGGACTGACAAAACTTCAAGCAAAAGTGCACCCCTATAACCGAGAATGATCCTGAGAATGAAGAACTGGAGAAGAAATGTAAAGAAACCAATGTAAATTCAGAGCTCAAATTTAAAATTTCAAATGATAGACAAAAAGACCTTATGACAAAAAAGTGTGAGAGGCCCCGCTTTAGAACAGTCAGGAAGACCAAAGCCAAGAATGACAGGAGCTTAGAAAATATGCCCCACAAAGGTTTCTTTCAGTTCTGCTCAGAGCAAGAAGCAGTCCCAGTCAGTTACTCAGGGGTGATGGTGCAATGCTGACAAACCAAGAAAGAGCAAGAGGGAAAAAGCAGAACCAGCCAATTCGCACGTTCCTTCTCCTGGCGGGAAAGAGCATGCTTCCTAGCCAGGGTAAGTGGTGAGGGAGAAAGAGCAATGCTTCTCACAGTGAGGTCCATTTCTGAGCCAAGATGGATCTCAGCGTATTGCCAGACCTGAAAGAGCTTTGAAGAGCTGCTCAGCTCTTCGAAGAGGAAAAAGTTCATTCACCAACTACAGCTGCGAGAGCCTGATGCCTACCCTACTCCAGGCCAAAGTAGAGGCATGTGGCAGAAGCGGATCACTGCCTAACAGCTCTGCAGGCACTAACAGAATAGACAACCTGGCCCCAGCAAGAGTGCTCTGCTCCAAGTCCTGCACATAAGCCTCAGCTAGACCCTGACAGGAGAGCAGGAGACAGTTGTACACAGCAAGCCTTCTGTCACACAATTCAGACGTGTGCATCCGAGTTAGGGCAAAGTATTTCAAAGTCTCTTTTTTTAGTCTTTGGAAGTCGAGGATAGGGCCTAAAAAATCGACTGTTCGAAATCTCCAGGGTAATCTTCACACATGGCCTGACTGAGAACCCCTCAGGAGCACATGATTCTTAACCAGTTTGTGGCCATGGTACTCTTTAAGAAATCCAGACAGATGTACAGAGGAAATATCAGCTGTGCAAGTCAGGGCTGCTTCAGACAGCAAATCAATGCTCTGGACCAGCAAGTCTCAAGGCGCTTGCAGGTTTCAAAAACTTATTCCATATCATCCCGTAATTTCGTATTTGTCAAATGTAAAAAGGTGCATTGTGCCCCTATGAACTACAGGAAATAAAGCTAAAAGCCATCTTCTTGGCTGTTGAGAGTGGGTTTGGGGAGTGGATAAGCACTGCTCTAGGAGCTTGCAGGTCAGAACTAGGAAGGCCTAGCAGGCAACAGAAGGTAACAGCTTTATGTAAGAGAGGCTCTGAGAGGGGCCTTGAAGGATGGGGAAAGCTGAACTTCTAGAGAGAAAAAAACAGACATCTGTGTGTGGGAAACATACTCAGAGACATAGAAGAAGAAATCACTGGGTTTAGGGAAGCAGCAGGGAACCAAGTTTGGCTGGAGCATTTACTAGCATTGTGGATTCCACCATCCCTTGGAGGAGGAAGCTGTTTAACGCCTACATGTGGCTGAGAAGGGGGATTAGAGAGGAAGAGGAGATAAAGTCTGGCTAGTGCCCAGGCCCCACTCTAAACCTGCAGAATCAGAACCTCCTAAGTGACGGTAAGGTGCATCCTGCTTAAGAACCACCATGCTCATCTAACCCAATCTTTTAGCAAGAAAGACACTGATGCCCTGATTAATTTAGTGTCATTTCCATGGCTAGAAATAAGCTCTTAAAAGAGCTAACACCTCCCACGGAGCCAGGCACATGAAAGCAATATAAGTCTGAACTTTTTTTAAAAAAGTGAATGCTGATTGCGGCTTATATTGCTCATTTTACTGTTCCCTATTCTGAAGATTACTATAGGCCACAGAATCAGAATATTCCAATCCCTAACCACTCTCTTCAACATTAACTTTATATATTACACACGGAAATAATATTTTAATTTGGCAGATGGTTGCTTCAAAAACTGCCAAATCATCAATGGACTAGAAAGTGTAGAGACCCCTGTAGTCAGACAGGCCTGGGCGCAATACCCCGCCTCAACCTTCACACCACCTGAAGCTCCAAGGAGTCTACCATCATACCCGAAAAATGGTAGGAAACTTTCACAGGGCCCTAATGAGAATTACAAGAAATGTCATACAGTGCTTAACACTTAGCACCCAAGTAGGTACTCAATTAACATTAGTTTCATTCCCTTCCATAATTGTATCACAACATTTCTTAATATTCTAAGACAAGTGTCAAGGCACCAACATATATCCTC